TTAGGGATCAGCTGGTTTTCACTGTAATAGGCAGTAAGAGCACCTAGAGCTTTGGAGAGCTTCTGATCCACCATCTCAAAGTTCCCTGCTTGAGCGGTGATGGCACAATCATCAGCATAGACAAAATTCTCTGTCCCTTCTGGCAGTGGCTGGTCATTTGGGTAGATGTTGAACATGGATGGAGCAAGCACGCTCCCCTGAGGCAGGCCGTTCTTCTGTTTCCGCCATCTGCTTCTCTGGCCCTGGAACTCAACAAAAAAGCTCCTGTTTTGTAGCAGGTTTCCTATCAGGCGGGTGAGGTGGTCGTCCTTTGTGATGTTATATTTATGATATACTAGCTTGGGGAGTCAGCGCTGCCTGGGTTATTAGAGAAAGTGGGTAATGGCGGTTCTGTATGCCAAGTTTGGTCTTTATTGGTCATTGGATAATGGCTGCATTGTTTTCAGGAAATGAGTGAAGGTATTTGAAGTCCCATCATCCATGGTCCACCCTCCTCCAAACAGCAGCAGGATATAGAGTGGGTCATGGGGGCTCTGTGTGCCAACTTTGGTCTTTATCAGTCATTGGGTGAGGGTGGCAGTGGTGTCAGTAAGTGAGTGAAGGTACTGCAAGTCCCATCATCCAAAGTCTATCCTCCTTCAAACTGCAGCAGGATGCAGAATGGGTCATGGGGGCTCTGTGTGCTAAGTTTGGTCTTTATCAGTCATTGGATTAGGGTCGCAGTGGCTTCAGTAAGTGAGTAAAGGTACTGCAAGTCCTATCATCCATGGTCAACCCTCCTCCAAACAGTATCGGGATATAGAGTGGGTCATGGGGGCTCTGTGTGGTAAGTTTGGTCTTGATTGGACATTCGATGAGGGTTGCAGCAGTCTTGGGAAGGGAGTGGAGGTACTTGAAGTCCCATCATCCATGGTCTGTCCTCCTTCAAAGTGCACCATAGAATCATAGAATCATAGAATCAAAGAGTTGGAAGAGACCTCATGGGCCATCCAGTCCAACCCCATTCTGCCAAGAAGCAGGAATATTGCATTCAAATCACCCCTGACAGATGGCCATCCAGCCTCTGCTTCAAAGCTTCCAAAGAAGGAGCCTCCACCACACTCCAGGGCAGAGAGTTCCATTGCTGAACGGCTCTCACAGTCAGGAAGTTCTTCCTCAGGATGTAGAGTGGGTCATGGGGACTCTGTGTGCCAAGTTTGGTCTTGATCAGTCATTGGCGAGGGACTCAGTGGTCTCAGGAAGTGATTGAAGTGACTTCAAGTCCCATCATCCATTTCCACATTTTTCCAAACTGCACCAGGATGTAGAGTGGGTCATGCGGGCTCTCTGTGCGAATTGTGATCGTGATCCATCACCGTTGGCAGTTGTAATGGTCTCAGGAAGGGAGTGCAGGTATTGCAAGTCCCATCGTCCATGGTGCATCCTCCCCCAAACCGCACCAGGATTTACAGTGCATCATGGAGACTCAGTGTGCCAAGTTTGGTCTTTCCTATGAGGCGGGTGAGGTGGCAGTCCTTTGTGAGATTATACATTTTTCTCAGGAGGAGGCGGTGGTTTACGGTATCATAGGCTGCTGACAGGTCTATGAAGACAGCTCCTGTGATCTGCTGCCTTTCAAAGCCAACTTCTATGGGCTGAGTCAGGTTCAGCGCTTGCGATGTGCAGCTTCTGCCTTTCCTGAAGCCAGCTTGCTGTGGGATCAGACAAGGGTCTGTTTTTTCCGTAATTCTATGCAAAATAAGTCTCTCCAGAACTTTGTAGAGGCGGCACAACAGGGAGATTGGTCTGTAGCTTTTTGGATCATTATAACAATGATGATGATAATAACATTAATGATTATGATAAATATGATGGTCTAACAATTACTATAATAATATAATAATTATTGCCCTCAGATGGACTTTAGAGAGTTGTTGCACCCCAATAATAATAATAATAATAATAATAATAATTCCTCTAATTGCCTATAGGGAGACCAAAGTGGTGGTCTAATAATAATTATTATTATCATTATTATTTTGTCTCACAATTGCCTATAGGGAATCTTTGCATCTCCAAAGTGATGGTCTAATAAGTAAAACTCATAGAACAGTGTTTCTCAACCTGGGGGTCGGGACCCCTGGAGGGGTCACGAGAGGGTTTCAGAGGGGTCACCAAAGACCATTAGAAGACACATATTTCTGATGGTCTTAAGAATCCTTTTGGCATAGTCGTTTGGGTTCACAGTGTTCTCTAGATGTAGGTGAACTACATCTCCCCTAAATCACTGTCAGTTCATCCAAAATCCCTCCAGTATTTTCTGTTGGTTATGGGGGTTCTGTGTGGGACGTTTGGCCCATTTCTATCGGTGGTGTGATTCAGAGCGCTCTTTGATTGTAGGTGAACTATAAATCCCAGCAGCAACTCCCAAATGTCAAGCTTTCCCCAAATTCCACCAGTGTTCACATTTGGGCATATTGAGTATCCGTGCCAAGTTTGATCCAGATATCATTGTTTGAGTCCACAGTGCTCTCTGGATGCAGATGAACTACAACTCCAAAACTCAAGGTCAATGCCTACCAAACACTTCCAGTATTTTCTCTTGGTCATGGGAGTTCTGTGCACCAAGTTTTGTCCAATTCCATCATTGGTGGGGTTCAGAATGCTCTTTGATTGTAGGTGAACTATAAATCACAGTAACTACAACTCCCAAATGGCAAAATCAAATCCAACCCCACCAGTATTGAAATTTGGCATATTGGGTAAGGTAAGGTAAAAGTTTTCCCCTGACATTGAGTCCAGTCATGTCCAAGACTGGGAGTTGGTGCTCAATTTCTACTCCGAAGAGCTGGTGTTGTCCATAGACACCTCCAAAGCCAACATGACTGCATGGAGCTCAGTTATTGGGTATTTGTGCCAAATTTGGTCTAGTGCATGAAAATTCATCTTGCATTTCAGATATTTCTATTATGATTCATAACAGTAACACAATTACTATTAGGAAGTAGCAACGATAATAATTTTTGGTTGGGGGGTCACCACAACATGAGGCACTGTTTTAAGGGGTCACGGCATTAGGAAGGTTGAGAAACACTGTCATAGAATCATAGTCAGAGAGACCTGGTGAGCCATCCAGTCCAACCCCAATCTGCCAAGAAGCAGGAAATCACATTCAAAGCACTCCCGACAGATGGCCATCCAGCCTCTGCTTAAAAGCCTCCAAAGAAGGAGCCTCCACCACACCCCAGGGCAGAGAGTTCCACTGCTGAACAGCTCTCTCTCAGGGTGAGGAAGTTCTTCCTAATGTTCAGATGGAATCTCCTTTCTTGTAGTTTGAAGCCATTGCTTTGCATCCTAGTCTCCAGTAATTATAATTATTCAGTTCTTGTGGGTTTTTTCGGGCTATATGGCCATGTTCTAGAGGCATTTCTCCTGACATTTCACCTGCATCTATGGCAAGCATCCTCAGAGACCTCACTACCTCTGAGGATGCTTGCCATAGATGCAGGCGAAACGTCAGGAGAAATGCCTCTAGAACATGGCCATATAGCCCGAAAAAACCCACAAGAACTGAGTGATTCCGGCCATGAAAGCCTTCGACAATACAATTATAATTATAATTATATTTTTCTTTAGGGACTTGTTGCATCCTAACAACAACAACAACAACAGCAACAACACTTTTTTTAATCTCCAAGTGTCTTTAAGGAGTTGTTGTGACGGTCTAATAATAATAATAATAATAATAATAATAATAATAATTTTCCTACAGGGAGTTGTTGCATCCAAATAACAACAACAATAACAATAATTCTTTTTTAAATCTCCAATTGCCTACAAGGAGTTGTTGTGACGGTCTAATAATAATAATAATAATAATAAATATTTTCCTATAGGGAGTTGTTGCATCCTAATAACAACAACAATAACAATAATACTTTTTTTTAATCTCCAAGTGTCTTTAAGGAGTTGTTGTGACGGTCTAATAATAATAATAATAATAATAATAATAATAATAATAATAAATATTTTCCTACAGGGAGTTGTTGCATCCTAATAACAACAACAATAACAATAATTCTTTTTTAAATCTCCAATTGCCTACAAGGAGTTGTTGTGACGGTCTAATAATAATAATAATAATAATAATAATAATAATAATAATAAATATTTTCCTATAGGGAGTTGTTGCATCCTAATAACAACAACAATAACAATAATACTTTTTTTTAATCTCCAAGTGTCTTTAAGGAGTTGTTGTGACGGTCTAATAATAATAATAATAATAATAATAATAATAATAATAATAAATATTTTCCTATAGGGAGTTGTTGCATCCTAATAACAACAACAATAACAATAATACTTTTTTTTAATCTCCAAGTGTCTTTAAGGAGTTGTTGTGACGGTCTAATAATAATAATAATAATAATAATAATAATAATAATAATAATAATTTTCCTACAGGGAGTTGTTGCATCCTAATAACAACAACAATAACAATAATTCTTTTTTAAATCTCCAATTGCCTACAAGGAGTTGTTGTGACGGTCTAATAATAATAATAATAATAATAATAATAATAATAATAATAAATATTTTCCTATAGGGAGTTGTTGCATCCTAATAACAACAACAATAACAATAATACTTTTTTTTAATCTCCAATTGCCTACAAGGAGTTGTTGTGACGGTCTAATAATAATAATAATAATAATAATAATTTTCCTATAGGGAGTTGTTGCATCCTAATAACAACAACAATAACAATAATTCTTTTTTAAATCTCCAATTGCCTACAAGGAGTTGTTGTGACGGTCTAATAATAATAATAATAATAATAATAATAATAATAATAATAAATATTTTCCTATAGGGAGTTGTTGCATCCTAATAACAACAACAATAACAATAATACTTTTTTTTAATCTCCAAGTGTCTTTAAGGAGTTGTTGTGACGGTCTAATAATAATAATAATAATAATAATAATAATAATAATAATAATAATAGACGTATTTACTCCAGGAAGCCTGGCTTGTGCTTGTGCTCCACGTGAGGTCCAAACTGGATCTGGGCCTGGAAGCCTCCGAATTCGCAGGCCTTTTCAAAGGAGACCGGGTGTGAGCCGTTCAGGATGTCGTCCCGAGCCTAAAAGGAAGGGAGGAAATCATATTTATTTATTATTTACTTTACTTCTATACCGCTGTTCTCAGCCCGAAGGCGACTCACAGCGGTTCACAACAAATACGAACAGCAAAAATTCAGTGCTACAGTGTAAAAACAATTAACAGCCTAACATATTACATAATTAATAAACAGTTACTACAATAACCATTCACTATTCACTATCGTCAAATCAACAAAAACATGTTCCAGATTCGTCCTCCATTGTTCCATTCCAGTGTTCATTAACCAATCATTGCACTAATTATTCGAACGCCTGCTCAAACAGCCAGGTCTTCACTTTTTTGCGGAATACCATTAGAGATGGTGCTAGTCTAATGTCCGTAGGAAGGGCGTTCCACAGCTGAGGAGCCACCACCGAGAAGGCCCTATCTCTCGTCCCCGCCAGACGTGCGGGATTGAGAGCAGGGCCTCCCCGGAAGATCTCAAAGTCCTGGTGGGTTCATAGGCAGAGATGCGGTTGGATAGGTAGCTTGGGCCGGAACCGTTTAGGGCTTTAAAGGTCAATGCCAGCACTTTGAATTGAGCCCGGTAGCAGATCGGTAGCCAGTGGAGTTGGCGCAACAGGGGGGTTGTATGCTCCCTGCGCTCCGCTCCTGTTAAGATCATGGCTGCCGAGCGTTGGATTAGTTGGAGCTTCCGAGCCGTCTTCAAAGGCAACCCCATGTAGAGAGCATTGCAGTAGTCTAAACGGGATGTAACCAGAGCGTGGACTACCGTGGCCAAGTCAGACTTCCCAAGGTTCGGGCGCAGCTGGCGTACAAGCTTTAGCTTGTGGTCACCGCCGAAACCTGGGGTTCCAGGCTCAGCGATGAGTCCAGGGTCACACACAAACTGGGAACCTGCGTCTTCAGGGGGAGTGCAACCCCATCCAACACAGGCTGTAACCCTATACCCTGTTCGGCCTTGCGACTGACCAGGAGGACCTCTGTCTTGTCTGGATTCAGTTTCAATTAGTTCGCCCTTATCCAGACCGTCACAGCGGCCAAGCATCGGTTCAGGACCTGGACAGCCTCCTTAGTAGTAGGTGGGAAGGAGTGACAGAGTTGGACATCATCCGCGTACAGATGACACCGTACCCCGAAACTCCGGATGATCTCCCCCAGCGGCTTCATGTAGATGTTAAACAACATGGGAGACAATATTGAGCCCTGAGGAACCCCACAAGACAACGGTTGTGGTGTTGAACAGGTGTCTCCCAATAACACCTTCTTGGATCGACCCTCTAGGAATGACCGGAGCCACTGCAGAACAGTACCCCCGAGGCCCATTCCCACGAGGCGTCTCAGAAGGATACCGTGGTCGACGGTATCGAAGGCCGCTGAGAGGTCCAGCAGAACTAACAGGGACACACTCCCCCTGTCCAGCTCCCGGCAAAGATCATCCACTAAGGCGACCAAGACAGTCTCAGTTCCATGTTCCGGCCTAAAGCCAGACTGTGCCGGATCCAGATAATCCGTGTCTACCAAGAATACCTGGAGTTGTGAGGCCACCACACGTTCCAGGACTTTGCCCAAGAAGGGGAGATTGGAAACAGGCTGAAAGTTGTCGAAATTGAGTGGGGTCCAGTGATGGTTTTTTCAACAGCGGTTTTATTACAGCTTGCTTTAAGCTGGCTGGAAATATGCCTTCCCGAAGGGAGGCATTAACCACCACCTTCACCCACTCGGCCAATCCCCCTCTGGCCTCCTTCAGAAGCCAGGATGGGCAGGGGTCTAGGATGCATGTGGTAGCTCTCATTTATTTATTTATTTATTATATTTACATAATGCTTATCTCACACTTGGGGAGGGGGGGGGGCTCAAAGCGGTTTACAATAAATAATGGCAAAATTCAATGCTTTATGTACACAAATCCTAATCATAAATCTAAACAACATGTGACTAAGCATAAATTCAATAGGACAATTAAACCTAAAATAAGAGGACATCTAAACATGAAAGCACAAAAATTAAAAACACCTAATAAGAATACAATATATTTTAATATTATAATATGTATTATATTATATTCAATAAATAATATGGAATATTTTACATAACAGAATATATAAAATATTGCAGAATAAATAATACAATATATATTTAATATACCAGAATTGTTTTATTTTTTAATATTTAATATGCAATATATAATAGAATAGCTTAAATAGTGTAAAATAAATAATACAATATGCTGGCTACATGACCTTGGAGGTGTCTATGGACAACGCCGACTCTTTGGCTTAGAAATGGAGATGAGCACCACCCCCCAGAGTCGGACACGACTGGACTTCATGTCCGTAGACAACCTTTACCTTTTGCTAGAATATATTATAGATATTACATTTAATAGGCAATATATATTGTTGTTGTTTATTTGTTTAATCACTTCCAATTCTTCATGACCTCATATTATATGTAAAGACAATATATAATAGAATAAAAATAGTGTAGAATAAATAATACAAAATATTTTAATATTAGAATGTAAGTTATAGTTAACATGCAAAATATAATATAATAGATAAAAAGAGTGTCAAATAAATAATGCCATATAATTGTAATATTATGTAATATGCAATATTTAATATAATATATAAGATGGCTGTACAGGAGTTGATTATAAATTGTATGATTTTAACTGTATTTGTGTTTAGATTGGCTGCAGTAATGCTGGAGCGGCCTAAGTCAGAGGAGTCCTCCATGTGCGTTGCCATGGAGACCGATGCAGGAGAGAGGGAAGTGGGAGGAGCTTAGAGGAGAGAGTTTGAAAAAACGACAGTTAAAAATCAGTTAGGGTTTAGGTTTAGAGGAGTGAGCAGTCAGGAGTTAGGTTCAGAGGAGTGAGGAGTTAGGAGTTGGGAGAGAAGGAAAGGAAAGGTGGCGGAGTGACTTGTGAAGTAAAGCTTTGAGGCTTTGAAAAGCTGGGTTTGGCTATTGGAAGTTTCTCAGGCTAGTGCAGCCGAATGGTGAAACGTAGCTGGTATTCTTTTAGTCAAAAGAGAGGCTAAAGCAGGGGTAGGGAACCTTTGGCCCTCCAGCTGTGGTGGACTTCAACTCCCACAATTCCTTGAGGCTCGGCATTGGGCCAAGGTAAGCCTTTGGGGCGAATGCCGAGCCTCAAGGAATTGTGGGAGTTGAAGTCCACCACAGCTGGAGGGCCAAAGGTTCCCTATCCCTGGGCTAAAGAATAGTTTACTTAGTATTTGATCTAGGGAGGATCAAACAAGGGAAACATCCCTGTATTGAAACTTTGTCTGAAACAAGTGCTTTACGTCAGAAAGATACTGTGTTACTTGAAAGAATGAACTGTTAAAGTTACAAGTATTATTCCAAGTGCAACAAGGAAAAGTTACGTCTTGCAACCACACGCTGTGTACTTAAGAAAATTGTTAACTTTTATTTGAAGATTGCCTCAGTTCTGTCTATTCTGTGTCCAAAGTGCCATTTCTCACAATATTACAACTTACCTCACGTGGTGGCAGAAACGCAGGGAAAAGTAACTAAACAAAACTACATTCTTCTCTCCAGTCACGCTACAGTATATACAGTGTAATTACTACTAAGTTATTACTTTCTTAATAAAGGAGGAGGTGCAATTGAACAGCCTCCCTTCCAACTTGATGGTAAATTTGGTTCCTAATCTGCAACCTCCATTGCAAATCGGCCAGTTCTTTTTAAAATTGGGAACTGGGGTAAAATCTCCTGAATACTGGTTCCTTTCAAATTGGTGGCAACAATAAATCATCCCTCAGCTTCCCTGCTTCAATGGCATTTATGACGGTTGCCATGGCGGTTCAAAGGGGTGCCAAAGTGGGTTAAGTGGGAGATGCGGATGGAAGGGGGGGGTTCATGGTACCTGGACATAGAGGAGGTTGAGCTGGACGGGGTCCCGGGCGTCGACATTTTGGTCCGAATAGAAGAACTTGCGCCGGAGGAGCAGAGTCCGGCTCTCCTCCACACCCTGTTCCCGGAAGGTGCGGCCGTGGTCCAGCCAGTTCACTGGGCAGCAGAGAAAAGTGCAATTAAACTGTGTTAATCCCGCAGTGTGGACATAGCTGGCCTACACTATGAGTGTATATGACTATTCTTGAACAAACTCACAGTCATCATCGGTGTGGAGCTTAGCCTTGAGTTTCTCCATCTTCTTCTCGTCCCGCAGAAGCGTCCTTTCCTTCTTGAGGGTCCCACCGCCCTCCTCCTTCTTCTCTTCACCGCCGACGGTCTCCTGGATCAAGGAGTATTCCTCGTAGTTGGTGATGCCTGGAAGGGACACAGAGGAAGCCCAAACTAAAACCATATGAACTCCCTCTCCCCAAATACTGTATATATTCGAGTATAAGCCTAGTTTTTCAACCCCTTTTTTTAGGCTGAAAAAGCTCCCCTCAGCTTATACTCAAGTCAAGGTTATTTATTATTTTACTCCATTATTAGTATTATTTTTATTTCATGTATAATTTTCTCTCTTTATTATTACATTTAGAGCATTTTACTCTATTATTATTATTATTACATGTATTATTTTACACTATTTATGATTATTATTACATTTATTATTTCACTCTATTATTACATTTATTATTCTACTCTATTCTGTGCTCCCACAGAAGTTGAGGAAGCAAAAAGTTCCTTTCTGCTTCAGGTAAGCCTTGTCTTAGAGGGCACTAGGAATCAGAGCGAGTGTTTAAAATTAGCTGCTGAGTGTTTGCTTTGTTTGAGAGGTGGGGCGAGGCTCATTGTTCTCAGAATGAGTCAGAGTGAGTCGTTCGTTGCTGCTTCCTGTTTACCCTATATAAGCCAGGGCCTGAACTCAAGTGGCAGTTGTGCTCCCACAGAAGTTGAAGAAGCAAGAAGCCATTTTGTTCCTTCCTGCTTCAGGTAAGCCTTGTCTTAGAGGGCACTAGGAATCTGAGTGAGTGTTTAAAATTAGCTGCTGAGTGTTTGCTTTGTTTGAGAGGCAGGGTGAGGCTCATTGTTCTCAGAGTGAGTCAGAGTGAGTGAGTCGTTGCTGCTTCGTTTACCCTATATAAGCCAGGGCCTGAACTCAAGTGGCAGTTGTGCTCCCACAGAAGTTGAGGAAGCAAGAAGCCATTTTGTTCCTTTCTGCTTCAGGTAAGCCTTGTCTTACCTGAAGGCAACTAAAATAATCAAGGGTCTGGAGAACAAGCCCTATGAGGAGCGGTTTAAGGATCTGGGCATGTTTAGCCTGAAGAAGAGAAGGATGAGAGGAGATATGATAGCCATGTATAAATATG